TTCATAGAAACACACAAGACATACACACAGCACTAACACAGAAATAAAAATTCTCACCTGATGCTAATTTATTTTTCCACTTTTTACCACTGTGAAAGTAAGTAGTATACAGACTTGATGGTAAATAACAGAAGTTCTAGCTACAGTTGCTTCAAAATATTTTTCAATGGAAAACACTGAAGTACTACAACTCAGTAAGAAAGTCTCTTGAATATATGAAAATCATGCTGCAACAAATCATCAATTTGATGCAAAAAGGAAATCAGAAAATTTTTCCAACCCACTTATATCAGTGTCTCTGATCAGCTCATCCATCAGTTAGGATAACTACATTATTATACTAAGATACTGTTTTTCCTACAGAAGTAGCCAGACAACGTAAAACGTTACAGACTATAAATGATTACAATTACAGAAATTCTTCTCTATAAGAAATTTGGATAAAACACTGAATTTGCAGCTTACATTCACAAGCAATAATATCTGGCCTCTCATTTTAAATATAGCAATTGTTATCCATCACAAAACTGTTCACACATTTAAATGGAGAAGGTTACATCCCTGTTCAAGAACTTAATGACCCAAAGCTGCTTTAATTTTGAGGATCCTAGGAGATGGGACTGTTGTAATTCCATCTCAGAGGGCTGCCACGAGAGTCCAACACACCCAGTCTATGCAAAGTTCCTAATGGAAACTGGATTCAGAGATATTAAGTAAGCTGCCAAGAGCAGACAGCTGATAATGGCAGAATTGTATACTACACTATGGTGCTCTTTCAGTTACCAAGAATATGGATAATCACGTTTACATTTCTTGAATACGTACAGTACTATGTGACAGCCACTCATAAGTCACTTCGCCTGAAGTGCTTTCTCTCATTTAATTCACCCACCAAAATCTTCCCATTTAATTCTCACAAGGATATCGTGATGACTCAGTCACTACGTAGTGAAGGAAACAAAACAGTTTTTAGATATATGTTAATACGCCAAATCTTACTTATAAATTAAGGTTAAAACTACAATGACATCATTTTTCCTCTCCCACTGGAGTGGCTGGAAAAACAGAGTGCTCCTTCACTATTGGCAAGTGTCAGGTGGCACGTCCATTAAGGGTCATTATGCTACCTATCGAAATCAGAAATGCCCACACCTCTAACTAAGTGAATGCACGCCTTAATACGGAACCTACAGATACTCTCAGGCATTAACAAAATGACATTTGAACACTATCAGGCACTGCAGTATCTTTGTTATGTCTAGGCAATGGGGCAGAAGCTGAGTAAATAATGGCTCACTTGTACAACCAAGTCCTATATGAAACAGTGGTGCTTTTATGAAGTGACTTTAAGTGATCTCCAAGAAATATTAGGTTAAGAAACAAGACACAGACAACCCCTAGATAGAAAGCTCCTGGAAAGACATACCAGTGTGCCACAACATTAAGAGTTGGGGTGGGGATGGCACTGAATGAGCAGAAAAAAGTTAGGAAGGAGACTTTCAAAGACAATTAAGAGGCTAATCTCTAAAGGCACCTGTGTCCAAACAAAGGTTGGGGAAAATTCTCCTTGCCAAGGGATAGTAAGGGTACCCAAGTTTGAAAAGCTGCTCTATCTACTTGGTAGTGAACTTTTCAATGAGGTGATTTCTGCACCTAAATACTGGGGGTTACAATGAGCATACAGAACAGGCTGAATGATTTGTCTGGCTTGCTTGACTGATTACAGCGAAGTTAAGGTTGGAAGGAATAATCCTCATCTACCTCCAAACTCTTCAGTTGCTATTCTTATCAACCAAAAGGAAGCCAGGAGTTATTCATTACTAAAACGGCAATGTCCCACCACTGACACAGCCCAAACCAACTTCTCACCTTTAGATCTGTGCAGCCATGGGTCACATACCAATAATTTACCCTCCCATCTCCATGGATACAAATCAGGCCCTTTCCAGGGCATTTGCCATGTGCTCTTATCCAGCCCTCTGGCAAACACCACCTGAAGTGAGAGATTCAACTCCTCCTTGCCAATATCCCACTTTGGGAGTGCTCAGTTGAAGGACCCTCCTGAGACTTGAGGTAGATCTAAAATTAAGACTCACTTTTATTAATGCAATAAATGCTAGTCGAGGACCATTCAAGCAATGCTTCCTCTATAATCACAGGTACATCTTGTGTGTATTTATTATTGCAGCCTTCACTGTACTGCACCCTATAGATCGTACTATAAGATATCTGCTGAGCGGAACTTATTCCCACTTTTTTAAAATAAACTGCCTTTCTTTGCTTTCTTTCTCTATACAGATCCTTCTAATTCACACTGAATGTTATAAGGTCGCTCTCTGCAGAATTTTTGTCAGTGTCCACCTGAAATCATCTTGACTATGACGGCACCTATGATTCTGCTCCCTACTTTCACTGCAATACCACTGCACCAAGATGCTCCGCCACATCTAATTTGGCCACCATAATGAGAAAAATGAAAACTGAAAGGGTGAAGTAAGTAGTATAATCTGCTGACCTTGCTTAGACTCAGTGGAAAATTCACAGTAACTAAAACAGTTTAAGAGAATGTAAGGCACAAGCATGCAATCTCTTCAAACATCAAAGGTAGAAAAAAAAGTATGACAAGATTCAAAACCTCTAAAGAACACACATAATCTATCTCACAATGTGTAGATTCAAACTTCAATCTCATTCTAATGGGCTACTGCTATGGAGATAAAACTATTTTAAAGAAAAAATTGAACACAGAATAAATGTGTAAGTTTCCCAGTGAATCCCACTAAAGCTTCCATGTATTTTCTTACTGAAACAATCAAATGAGCTCTTGGCAAAAGATTTGATATTGGTGTCAGAATAATGTAAGAATCAAAACTATTTATAATGCAAGAGTTTTGTTTAAGGAAGATGTATCACTTCTTATTTTTCTCACCTACAAAAGACTCTATGTTTCATTCAGCAATAATGCTTCTCTCATTCTACCTGAGAATCCTGTAAAAAAGCAATACATCAACTAAAATCGGTTCTGAAAGATCTTTTATGAATACACACAATGCAGAAGACCCCAATTAAATTTCCAACAAAGCTCTGCCATTTTGAGTAAACAAAGTCATCTCACTAAGGTCACACTATTTGAAAGGATTTCAGCCTAAAAATTAATTACTAGCATGACATATGTCAAAATAAAAATTTAAAAGAATACATTATAGTTGTAACTGTCTGTTTTATCTTTTTGTATGCAAAACCAGTACTCTCTGTAATATAAATATATTCAGCACCTTTCAGGAACATTTTTTTAAAGTTTATTATTAGTCCTCCTGCCTTTTCTAACACCCACAGGAAATCCGAGTAAATAACAGGTTTAGTGAGTCAGAAAGTAACAGAACAAAAATACAGTACGGGTGATATTTCTGAAAGACAGAGGTCATCTTTCACAAACAACTAATTATGAAACCTTCAGTCTGCCACCAAAAGGTCTTAACCAACTAGGAGGCTATCCTGTAGGTTGCTACCTTGTGAAAATCAACCTTTAAGCCACATATAACAATGCTAGTGTGTCAGAAGGCGGACTATAATCCCTAAGCTGAAAATAAAACAACTGAGACTAAAATTAAAGATTTTGGGTCAAGGATTTAGCTCAGTAATACCACTGCCTGCCTCACCAGCGCAAGGTCCCAAGTTCAATCCCCAGTACCAAAAAAGAAAAATAAAAAAAAAAAAAAAAAAAAATTTAAGGAAAATTAAA